GTTTTTGAAAAACTGTTTTTCACATTCCAAATGCTACAGTAAATGTGTATTTCAAAAACAATTCCAAAAACACCCATATCCAAACATTATATCAAAAACAACTCCAAATATACAAATTTAATATGTATATTTCAATTTATAATAATATAATATAAATTGAAATATATAAATTGAAATATGTAAATTGAATATGTAAATTGAAATATACAAATTGAAAATTATATATTTATATGTTATATATGTTATATATTATATATTATATAAATATTTACATACTTTAATATTATACATAATATAATATAATATACATAGTATGTAATATTGTATACATAAATGTATAAATATTTATACATAATATATTTTGTACATTATATTATAATATATACATTATTAATGTACTTTCATTATTATGTACATTATTGTGTATAATAATGTATAATAAAGTTATGTATAATATATAATATACATAATATGTAATAATGTATAAATGTATATTATGTATATTATATATATACAATATTATGTATATTATACAAATTGCAAAATTTTATATTATATATTTATATATTATATAAATATTTATATAATGAAATATACAATAAATATTACAAATTGAAATATTATATAAACACCATATTTATTAATATTCAAATATTTATAATTAATATTAATGTATATTATATATATTAAATATTTATAAATAATGTATTTATATATTTATTTATTCATATTATATATAATTTATTTATTCATAATATATATAATTTATTTATTTAATATATATTTTTATATATTTATACAAAAAATATATATTATAAAATTATATATAATATAATATAATATATATTATATAGATTATACATTTATATAAATGTACATTTATACATAATATATATATTTATGTATATTTATAATTTACATTTATATTATGTATTTTGATACATTTATATTAATATACATAGTATTAATTTTACATTTATACATAATATTAATACATTTATATATTTATATTAATTATATTAATACATTTATACATAATATTAATATATATTTATGATATGTTAATTTATACATTTATATAATATTCATTTATAATTTATATATTTATAATAATATACACTTATACATTTCTAAATATATTTATATTATGTATTACATATAATATAATACATTTATATATTTTTATATAAATATATAAATATATTTATTTATAAATATTTATAAATGTATTATAAATGCATAAATATATATTTATATAAAATATAAAATTTATAATTTTTACATTTATATAATATTCATTTATAATTTATACATTTATAATAATATACATTTATAAATATATTTATATTATGTATTATGTATAATATAATACATTTATAATATATTGATATATTTTTATATAAATATATAAATATATTTATTTATAAATATTTATAAATGTATTATAAATGCATAAATGTATATAAATATAAAAATATATAAATTATAAATTATAAAATACTCAAAAATATGTTTTAAAAATACCTCTAAAAATAATTCAAAAAACATCTACAGTAAAAGTTTTTCATATAGTTTTTGAAAAACAACCCCAAAAACAACTAATCCAAACGGACTTGTATTTCAAAAACGAAATGCTACAGTATTGTTTTTGAAAAACAACCCCAAAAACAGCTAATCCAAACGGACCCATAATAATTGCACAAAATGGGATAAAATTTTACTTGATTTTGGTATGTTTTCTGACGAATTTTTATGTCTTACATTTTGGACCTCCATAGAGCACCTCCCATCGAAGCCTGGCAAGAAGAGGCCCGCCCAAAACTAGCATGTGTAAATTTGGGTGTGGGATGTTTTGGGTCTGGGTATTCCAAAAGCAGACTACGTCATGACTGAACGTGGATTGCTCGCAGGTGATCCTGGCCCATGGTACCCATAATGAGTTTGTTACCATTTTTGTTTTTTATTTTTAGACCCCAGTTATTTTCTACATTTACACTTGAAAAGATTGTTTTGTGAAAATGTTCGCTTGAGTGTATGAAAGTGCTCAGAATTACCCCTGAATGCATTAATTGGGCTCCCACTAGTTTTCACAATTAACCCAATCCTACTGTGAGTCAATTTTAACTTGGTAGAAATATTTTACATTTAAAATGGATTAGTCAACCCGATTTACAAATTTATTCCAACTCTCAACAAATTTCTCGAATTTTAGGTGGGATGAGGACTTTAATTATTTCTACGTCTCAGGAATAATGACAAATCGAGAGGCTCGACTAGAAGGAATCGATGGTAATCTTTTGTGTTATATATGGTAAATAGAGAGACAAATGGAGAGGCTTTTGTGTTATATATGATAATTTTTTTTAATATACAAATTAGATTCAAGACTTACTATTTGTAATTGTAAAAAGAGAAAAGAAAAGGAGCGAGTTGTTTCATGTCTGCAATGAAATTCCGATTCAACCATCCCAATTTTTTTGAAGCTTTTTTCTTTCCCATTTGAAGTCCCTTTTAGCATCTCACAAGGAATTTCTCATGCATCATTTTACTATATTCCTGAACTTCATATGCTTTTGTCATACGTGCATGAAAAGAATACTCTATTTTGATTATCATGATTAACGGATAAACAATGATCTTGTGCCTAAGAAAATAGTAAACTAACCCTCCTCCATGATTTTACACCTTTAGCTATTTGAAAATTTCTGTATAGGCCTTTTCAAAATGAACTTCTCATTTTCACGGCAACGTTTTTAAACCTGGATGAGTAATTTTTTGTTCACAGTTCAACCATTCAAGTTAAAAGTTCAACTTTTTTTCATGTATATAAGAAATAAAAATTCCGATTAAAAATTCAAGAAAAAGGAGAAATTTTACTAACAAACAAGTTCAGAAGTCCACATTTTACTGATTTTTACCATTCAACCATTCTTTGACCAATTTTTTTGGTTTCTTCCAAGAAACAAAATTTCTTTTTGTCTTGTTCAAGTTTTAAATGAAACCAAACCAACACCATGACCTCTTTGCAATTCAACTGGTTGAACCGATCTATTAATCCAATTTTCAAAACACTATCCCCAAATTGCCTTCATTGGAGGAAATTTCTACAGAATTAAGTCTTTATCCAATTAGGCTGTCCCCAGGCTACAGCTCAAAATTATTGATAACATCAGGAGCAACTACTACGTATACGTATCTTTTTTGGTTTTTTTTTGTTTTTTTTTGGGGGGGGGGGGGGGCGGGGGGAGGCTGCAAATGGACACTGATAAAAACGACTTCTGACTAATAGTCACCTACCCTGTATTCAGTTCTAAGCGGTATCTGTGATTTCAATGTACATATTTGGAAGAAATGAAGCAAATCGATCAACTTTTTCCATTAGCTTCCGGCAGCAAGAAATATATTTCCCCTGAAGCTATCAAGCTAATCAATAAAACTGTTGAAGAGAGCATGGAGCTAATCATCAATAAGCATTCAAGGACCTATATCCTTCAAGCTTCCTGTTCCATTGCTTCCTTGTACAAAAGGCTACTATAAACTTCTACATTACATCTAAACCCAACTATAACAACAAGGTCAAAAATAAACTAGCTCTATGTATGTTAAAAAGGGAAAACTATTGCAGCTGTTAATCTATTTTGCCATTTGATATTTGAAATCTTCATTGGTTGGATTCTTCACTTGATACTTCAGTGTTGCATATTGGGCATGTCTGGCAAAACCAACAAGATACATACATGTATTAGCAAACAAATATCAGACTTTAAGGCGAACTCTGCTCAAAAATATTTACCATACCTTGTTAATTCTGAGCCATTTCGATCACAATGAGCATGGTATACATGTTTGCATGGCAAATTTATTGTCCCCTCTTTTGTACCTCATTTGGCAGATGACATCTGGGTCGCAAAAATTTTAAAAAAAAAAATGACACCAATTAAATTATTAGAAAAAAATTGAAGCAGCAACCAAAATGAGTGAACCTGACCTAGATGTGTGTGTGTGGGTGTGTGTGTGTGTGACAGAGAGAGAGAGAGAGAGAGGAGCAGAGAATGATAGAAACCTTCTAATTTTGTTCATTCATGATCTTTCACTATTCTTTATGTTTTCTTTCTTCTTTCAGAACTTGACAAGGGCCAACACATTTAGATATAAAAGAAAGGGCAGCCCCATAATAGATCTCTATTACTCTTTCCTAGCAGGTACTTAGTCTTACAGAAAACACAAGTAAAAGAGTGACACAGGCTCGGTAGCCTCAGCTAGAAACTAACAAAAAAATACCGAGGCACCTGCTACCGTTTACAAAGGAAATGAAGCAGAAATGCTGGATTCTGGTATCACATTGAATGCAGCAGTATCATACATTATCAGGTATTTGTGATACTGGGGACTCTGTATATTTTCCAAAGAGTAGATAAGGTTAGGTAACTGATTTCCTTGTTGGGGTCAAGAAACCCATTCTTGATTTATTTGCTCAAATCTTGAAATGCATTCTTGAAAACAATCATGGAACTGCATTAATATCAACTAGTGTTACTTATCATTTTCACAAGCCATTGCTTTGTCAGTGATCAGCTGGTGAGCACATAATGGGTATCATAATTGATCACCCTGCATAGGCAAGGCATAACAACAGGGAAACCTGATCCGCAGGGCTTCTGCCTAATGCAGTTGAGAATGCTTAGGTGGAGGCTACATTACTGCAGCAAGCAGAACTGCTCTTTCCAAGGGTTATTGTATGCACTAGACTGGGTACCATACGAATCTTACAAAGAACTTCTCAAATGTTTATTTCACAGCTAAACATAATTTCTTGTGGATAGAGTGATTTTTGACCACATTTGAATGATATGTGACAAAAGTAACCAATGTAAACAGGTACAGATAGAGAGAAAGGCAGAGTGTCAGAAAGGATAGAGGCTAACAGCTGTGGCTCACCAGCAAGAAGAAAGCACAGTGGCACATTCAACGTGAAATACATCTTAGTAAGAATATACCTCTCAGTAGATCTTTTTTTGGAGAAAATTCCCCAGATTTGTACTTTGAGGTCGGAAGTAAATCAATAAGTTCTTGTGAAAGTCCCCGTTTTCAGTCCCCACTGCTTCGCCCAACTCAAGTAATTCCTAAAAATAATATCATAATTAGATTTCATCTCCAAACAGTTTGTCTAGTCATTCTTAACATTTGCTTGTAAGAATCTGTACACCGAGACGAGATATCAGGTGTTTTACTTAATCTGTCTAAAGGGAATAAATATAGCAAATTCCTCATTTTGTGTAATCATACACTTGTAAAATTTACTCACCCTGCTGTTGCTAATGCAGCTACACCAAATACTGAACTCTTATTTTGCTATTCTAGTGCCAGAAGCTAGAGAAATGAAAATGAAGACCATTTTGGATGTTCAACAACATAGTCAGCAAAAAGCCATGAATAGAACTTGGAATTATGGAGTCAGTTACCAGAACGGCAACAGTTAGAGAAGCACAATGAAGAAGTCCTTTCTTTTATTCCTTGTGAATTTAGTTTAAGAGTTTGGGACTTAAAACCCACATGGCAGAATACATAAAAGAAGATTGATATTCACGTCAAGCACGTCTTTCTTTGGTTACGAAAACTGGTCAACTGGTTGAACTCTGGAGAGAAGATTTTGTTCTTTTAATTGATTTTCCAATAATGTGACTTCGAGAAATGAAGTTTGCATAAACATTCACCAAAGTTCATGGCAATCACCAGCCAAAAATCTTTTTGATGCAGCATTTCGCACTAAAACAGTCTAATAACAGTCTTATCCACTGAACAGGGCATAAGAGAAGCCTCATACTTGCTGATTGAATTTCAACCATTATAGGTTCTAATAAGAACACAGGTCATTGTAGCACATAAAGAATATAAGTTTACAAAATGCAAAAACTTCAAACATTTGTACCTCATAAGTCATGTTGTCAGGATCAATATTATCTTCCCAAACAGCCTGCAACAGTGTAGGAAAAAGAAAGTACAAATCAGTATCTTCCTCACAGCCAAGCAAAATATATATTTCCTATTCGTAAGTGATAAGCTGAGAATTATGAAGAGATAAAGAAGTATATAATCGATTTACATACCTGAGTACCACCAGAATCTTGCTGATTAATGTTGTCTGCAGAGGTTTGAGCTGTGCAAAGGATAGAAAATGAGAATGCTAAGTATGAACAACTCATCGAAGATAAGGTCAGAATTGCATTACCAAGCAACAAAAACTTGTAATGAAACTGAAAAGAGATCTACCTCAACAAAGGAAGTAACACCCTTAAGACCAAGAAACGTAGAAAGTCAACATGATATTTTCCCCGTTTTCATTTGTTTAAACTGTAAGGGCCAAACAACAGAACAAAATCTGGAACTCACATTCTTCTGGGATGGCCTCCATACTGGGCGTTGGGTTTGCCTCCATACTGGGGGCTTGGATCTCTTCCGAAGGCATTTCTACAACTGGCGGTTCTTGTATATTCATAACAGAAGGATAATCCCATGGTCTCCGGTTGTAGTCCATCCTCATAAAGTCATCATTTACAATGTAAGGGCTATAATAGGGAGGCATTTTCTGGGCCAGATAACCCAAATCTGTAAGAATTCATATTCATTGACCAATATGCAGATTCCTGCAAATAAAACACCAATGAAACACATTCACCATCACAAAGGAAACTTACACATTCCCATCCATCTCAAATGCTCGGCAGTGTTTAAGCAAAGACAATAAACAGTAAAATTTTCAAAAAGTAATACAATCAATCGTGCAAGTGCAGTATACAAATTGACAATTTATTTTGCATCAATTGCCCCTTTCTCATATGAAAAAACCATATAAAAGTGAAACCAAGACTCTTTCCTCTCAAAATTTATACTTTGGAGTCAATGGCATCCTGACACATTTGCACTAACAAACTGCAGATAGCTACATATATCTCATTGTAATGAACAAGTACGGAACAAACGTAGGTCAAATTTTTTATAAGAAAAGAAATGAAATGTAACAATGAGACAGCAAACACGTATCCCACTTGTTACACTAGAGCTGAGCATTCATTAGCTTGACCATAAAAACATTGAAGCAGAGCAGCATCATAGTTTAACAGCTTTACATCTTTCAAGCAATTCAGGTAATGATATCCAACTAACAAGCAGAAATATATGGACACTGTAATAGTGAATAGTATATCCTCAGAATCCCACCACTAAGGAAACGATTATGAGCATTGATATGTATATAGCTTTCATAAAAGATCTGATAGGACAACCTAAACTAGGAAAACAACATTCTTTTCTGTTTTAGAGCAGAACAACATTTAGTTATTATTCTTAAGCACTGCGCATCACTATTTCATGAAATTACAGTTGGGCCCTGAAAAAAAGAAGAAAGGAAAAAATTGCAAAAAAAGGAAAGGAAATTGCAGTGCCCCCAAAAAGGAAAGGAAAGGAAATTGCAAACAGAAATTGCAAAAAATTTGGGCCCTGAAAAAAAAGGAAAGGAAAAGATTACCTGATGATCATGAGGCATTGGTGGAGGAGGGTGAACATAAGGTAAAGGGGCTTGTGGAAGACCTCCAAAAAAGTCCACAAAACTGTCTGAAGCATTATAAGGATAGCCAAAAGTATTCATGTAATGCACCTCCATTTGATGATTTCCATCCATTTCTTTGACTGCTGATCTCAATTACCCAAAACAGCTGCAAAATGAACAATTCAGTATATCCTCTTAAACACAGAACCAAAAAAAAAAAAGGAAAGCTAAAAACCCAGAAAATCCCCCATTACATTTCAAAAAAACTGAAAAAAAAAAGAAGCAAAGAGCAACAACTCTGAGTCTAGAATCTTTAAAGAGTATTTAAACTTCAAGAAAATTCTGCATCGTTCTTGTTTCCTTAGAAACCCCTGCATCTTCCTACTTTCAGAACTAATCTAACAAACAACCAAAAAATAAAGCATGTCTTCATTTCATAAACCCTTTTATTTTCTTTCTTTCCTCTGTCAAATTCATCCCATTATATCAATATAATAAATTAAAGGAAAAAAAAACTCAATTTTCTAATAGCCCAAGATTGGCCTGAATGGTAAACTCAAATTTCAAAAAGGTCATTGTTTTACAAATTGTAGCAAGCGAAAAAAAATAAACAAAAAAAAAACAGGGGACTTCTAGAATAATGGGCAGTCGTACAAAAGAACCTACCAACAGCAACAACAACAAAACTAAAATACTCCATTACATACTCGAAATATGCAACTAAATTATGTAAAATGAGAAAAGAAGTACTGGGATTTACAAGAAGATATCTCAAAATGTGAACAACATAGACTGGGATTTACAAGGAGAATTATATACAAGTATGAGAGACAGAGGATGAAGCTATGGAAGAAGAAAACGGACACTTTGAGGATGAGTACGGAGGCGAGAATGGGGACAAAAGGGAGAAACGGAGGTATGCTTCACTTTGTTGTGTTCGTTGCTTTTTGGCTGTGAGCTAGTTGGAAGAAGAGGAAACCGTAGACGTCAGTAATGGCAGTGTCTGTATCTCTAATCTGTCTCATCTCATCTCATCTCATCTCATCATTTCTCTCTCCACTGTTGGGACTGTGGAATGTGGGAGAGAAAGAGAGAGACTGTGTGAGTGTGTGCGGAGAGGCTCAGTGGCTTATGTCGGACTTGAGACACACGCTAGCTTTTGAAGCATGAAGTACTAAACGCAGATTTAGATAATTTTTTCTTTAAATTAGTTTGTGCGCGTTGTGCGGAGTGTAGTGTGTGTTGGTTTGTGCATCTTCTCATGAGACATGGAGGAGCAAATTTTGAGATATGAGTATGGTTTTTCGAATTGAGAAATATGTAAAGGGAAAATCGTCCAAAACGTCCCTTATATTTTATAAAATAATTTTTTTCGTCTCTCATTTTTAAAAGTATAATTTTATGTCTCTTATATATTTACATCAGTCAAATTTAATCCCTAACTAAGTTTTCGATCTTTTTTTGGCTGGAATCCATCATGTGTAAGGCACGTGATCATTTTTTAAGGGTAAATTTGTCAAATTATATATTACATAATCTGATCTATAGTCCTCCATATTTTATAAAATAAATTTTTTCGTCCTTCACATTTTATAAAATAATTTTTTTCATCCCTCACATTTCACAAAATGAATTTCTCCATCCCTCGCATTTCAAAAAATGAATTTTTCATTTCTCACTAATTATGTGTAAATACATTTTTTTTAAACACATGTATATGTCTATTTGATTTTACTTAATAATAATAGCATAAACACATGTATGTAATTGGCCCCGACTTGTGGGCTATCTTCTCTTTTTTGTATGATTATGACTAATATTTACCAATAGAATTTTAATTTGCATATTCTTATTGTATTTTGACCGAAAATAGCTTTATTGGCCAACTTGACAATGAATGCAAGATTTTTTACTAGATAATACCAGATGAAATCAAATGATCGCATATAATATATGATATTCGTATTGTTAAGTGAAATCAAATAGACACATACATATATTTATGCTATTCATATTATTAAGTAAAATCAAATAGACATATACATGTGTTTAAACAAAATGTATTCACACACACACACACACACACACACACACATATATATATATATTTTTTAGGGTTTCCCTCACACTCATAATTAGTGAGGGATGGAAATATTCATTTTTTGAAATATGAGGGATTGAGAAATTCATTTTGTAAAATGTGAGGGATGAAAAAATCATTTTATAAAATGTGAGGGACGAAAAAATTTGTTTTATAAAATGTGGAGGACTATAGATTAGATTATGAAAAATATAATTTGACAAATTTACCCTTAAAAATGATTACATGCCCTGCACGTGATGGATTCCGGCCAAAAAATGATCGGAAACCTAGGGCCTGTTTGGAAGTCAGGTTTTTAAGCAAGTTTTTTACCTACTAGTTTTTTAACAACTTTTGCTACAGGAACCCCAAAAAACTTCTCTAAATTTTTTACCTACCCACTTCAAAATATACAAAACACAAAAAAAAAAAAAAAAATTTCCTTCCATTTTTTTTCTTCTTCCTCTCCCATCCCAACCCACCACCACCTCTCCGGGCTAGACTCCAGTTCAATTACCGCTTCCAATTCAATCTATCCATCTATCATGCTCCAGAGTTTGCTCCACTCCAATTCCACTGCTACTTCTGCTTCCAACCCCATTAATTCCGTTCCCATTCCCATTCTCCTTCCCCCCAGCAGAAACGCTCGTCCCTCCTCCAACTCCTCCTCCTCTATGCAGTCCAAGCGCTCCTCCTCTGCCCACCACGAAGACCTCTCCTTCTCAAACGCCGCAACTCCTCCCTCGGCCCCGACAACCCTTCCACCTCCGCTGATAGAACCATCGACTTAGACAACTAGGACGACGATGTTGCTGAGCTCGAAGCCGCCGCCGCAACCGCCTCCTTGGTGGAGCAGCAGCTGGCGACACCAAGTCCTCCGGCCTCTGTCTCCTGGGCCTCCTCCTGCAATGCGCCGAGTGCGTGGCCATGAACTGTCTCGACGCGCCAGCAACCAGCAGGACCTGAGCCACGGGGGAAGCTTCTTGCGGCGGTTCGTGGAGGCGCTGCATTACTACTCGGCGCTATTCAATGTGCTGGAGGACGGAATGGGGACGGACAGTGTGGAGAGGCACACGGTGGAGCAGCAGCTGTTGGGGTGCGAAATCAGGAACATCGTGGCCGGAGGTGCTAGAGGTGGGGCCGGTGGCGGAGTAGGGGGTGGAGCAGGCTGCGTTGCTGCTGGGAGGCAGAGGTAACGGGGAAGAAGAAGAAAGAAAAAGGAAAGAAAAAGAAAAAAAAAAAAGAGAAAGAGAAAAAAAAGAAAAGGAAAAAAAGTTTTTCCCTTACAAAAAAAATTTTCACCTTATAAAAAACTTTTACAAAATTTTTTGAAAAACTTCTACAGTGCACTATAGTAAAGTTTTAGACAAACTCCCAAAAAACTCAGGTTCCAAACAGGCCCCTAGTTAGGGACTAAATTTGACCAATATGAATATGTAAGGGACATAAAATTACACTTTTAAAAGTGAGGGATGAAAAAAGTCATTTTATAAAATATGAGGGACGTTTCGGACGATTTTCCCTTTAGAATAACACTAAACACGTTTTGTGATATGATATATATATATGAGATAGAAAAGTGATTAAAAATTATGTTTGTAATACAATTTGAATAAAACTCTATCCAAACACACTCAATGTTGGAAAAAAATTGTGAAATAAAAATGTAGCATATTTTATGATGTGGTGTATATATTTACATTGCAAGTAAAAATATAATTTTTTTATTAATTATATAACAAGACAAATTTTATGATGCAAGGTGGTTAAGCATTATTTTAAATAGAAAAACACGATAAAGATTGGAAATATATACAAAGACATGTTATTTTTTTATGGGAAAAGGCAATATGGATTGAAATGTAATTTAAATTAGATTATTTTCAATAGGAAAAGGCAAGGAAAAATTGTTCAAAACATTTCTCACATTTTATAAAATAACTTATTCGTCCCTTACTTTGAAAATTATAATTTTACTTCTCTTACAAATTCACATTGGTCAAATTTGATTCCTATCTAAGTTTTCAACTAATTTTTGGTAGAATCTACTACGTGTCTTGCACGTGATCATATTTTAGGGTCAAATTTGTCAAATAATATTTCACATAATCCTATCCATAGTGTCTCATATTTTACAACATAAATTTTTTTATCCCTCATATTTTACAAAATAAATTTTTTCATCCCTTGTTAATCATGTATATGAATAGCTTTTCTTTTTTTGAAAATTCATGTACATGTTTATTTGATTTCACTTGAATAGTATGAATAGCATATAATATATTTCTATTTGATTTCACCTACAATTAATTATAGTTGTAGGTGAAATCAAATAGGGATATATTACATACTATTTGTACTATTCAAATGAAATCAAATAAACATGTACCTAGGTTAAAAAATAGCTATTCATACACATGATTAATGAGCGACAAAAAAATTCATTTTGTGAAATGTGAGTTGTGAGGGACAAAAAAATTCATTTTGTAAAATGTGAAGAACCATGGATTGGATTATGTGAAATATTATTTGATAATTTTGCCGTTAAAAAATTATCACATGCAAGGCAAGTGGTAAATTCCAACAAAAAACTAGTTGAAAACATGAATAGGAACCAAATTTGACTAATATGAATTTGTAAGGGACGTAAAATTATACTTTTAAAAGTGAAACATGGAAAAAAATTATTTTACAAAATGTGAGAAACGTTTTGAATGAGTTTTCCAAAAGACAATATAAATTGAAATGTAACGTATATTAGGTTGTTTTGAATCGTAAAAGATAATATAAATCGAAGTGTACCGTACATTAAATTATTTGAATCATAAAAGGCAATACACATTGAAATCTAACGTACATTAAATTATTTTGAATCATTAACGACAATATATATTGAAATGTAACGTACGCTATTTTAGTAGAAAAGGTTAAGTAGTGTAGATACATGTTATCTCTAAATGCATGATTGTGTCATCTTTAAATGTCGAGTAGTATAGATACGTGTTATCTTTAAATGCATAATTGCATCATTTAAAGATAAACAAGACGATTTAGAGAAAATTGTAATGCCCAAAATCTCAAATTTGAATACATGTTAATAGTTATTTGTCGAAAAAGAGTGTAACGCTTGAGAGCTTCTATCAAATGTGTTTGCAAAATTGAATAGTAATTAGTAACAATAAGAAAGGTTATAGAATATTTTTGAAAATTCTAAATTTTGCGAAGATTAACTAGCATTTGTAATTATTGAGATATTATCACATTCCATTAGAAATATATGTGATGGTTTATCCACCATATCAAAGAGCGCTTGATTTAGTGATCTAATCAATGATATTGTTTTCATGGATGAATTATTTTATTAGGCAAACAAGCTTTTGAAACATGGAGCATTAAACCCCTATTTAGATAATTCTTTTAAAATTGGTTTATGCACGTTGTGTATGTTTGTTTGTGTATCTTCTCACGAGATATAGAGGAATAAATTTTGAGATATAAAGAGTATGATTCTTTTAATTAAGAAGTATATAAATATGTTTGGTTAGAACATTTTGAATACACATATTATTTCAAATATTGTTTTGTTGGTATTATAAATATATTTTTCATTCACTTTTTTATATTCTTAACTATTTTTGTATTTCACATACATCAAATTTTGGCTAGAATCCACCACGTGTCTTGCACGTGATCATTTTTTAGGATTAGCATTGTCAAATAATATTGAGCAAATTGCGCGAAATGTCACTAAACTATTTCAAAGTGCTGGTTCTGGTCACTAAACTTTTTTATTAGCGCGAAATGTCACTGAACTAGTAAATCTGTACCGTTTTGGTCACTCCGTGTATTTGTGCCGTTAGGAGAAACGGAAATCAACTTTTTGAGGGGCAAATTCGTCTGTACAGCCTTAGTGGGAAGAGTTTCATCTGGTAAGTGAAAGGTTTAACTGTGGGGCTTTGGAATGCTGGTAAAATTTTTGGAAATGTGGACAATGACAGTGAA